CCCCAAAACCCCAAAACCCCAAAACCCCACTATTTAAATAAATGCTAATTCTTTTAATTTAAGATTGAATATTAAAAGTAAAATAAATAATAGCATTAATTAGATAATACTTAACCTGACACTAGTTGCTGCAGTAGTTTGTTTCAATTCATTTCAGTATCTCCATCTTCATCATCCCCTTCCATTTGAGGAGGCGCTGTAAAGTACTTAAGCTTTCCATTCAAAAAGTCTCTGATAACAGACCTTGCAACCTAATCAAAATTAGCGATACCTCCTGCTTAAAGCTAACCCTTCTTTCTAGCAATTTAGCCTAAGAATGAATCAGTATTAGCAAATGGTGCTATTTCATAATATGCAAGCAGTTCAGCCCTATCTACTCTAGATATAATGGCTTCAACTGGTCTGAATGGATCAGCGATGTCTTCGATCTTAATGGCTTGCCTTAAGATTAAAGAGTCAGTTTGATCTTTGGTTGCTAATACGACTCCTGGTGAGTCGATCAGTATGATGTTTTTATCTAGTTGAATTTCTTGCATTGATTTAGTCACACCTGGCATATTACCTGTAGGCGCAGCTCTTTACCTCTTAAGTGAGTTAATGAGTGAGGACTTTCCAACATTAGGAAATCCAACTACACCTACTATAATTTATTGCTTTGTTTTGCCGTTGCCACCCTCGACTCTTGCATAGTTCTTCAAAATGTTCATTAAATTCTCTGATCCTATTGCTTTTGAGGTGTGCACCATGCTCTCAATCAATTCAGAATTATTAAGCATTGAATTCTTGTGCAAAGATGTACCCATAGACAAATGATCCTGTTAATTTTGTCTGTTAGTCTTAAATAGAATGCATGGGAATTCATTTCTCATATATCTCTGCCACATTCTCGCATTTTATGGTGGGACAAGATCAATTTTATTGATAACCAGCAATACTTTTTTGCCCTGAGAAAGCACATCTTTTTCCATCTCGTGACTTCTGCAGCCCTCTGGATCTCTGGCATCTAAAACTTCAACAATAACATCTGATGCCTCGATAACTTTCTTCAATTCCTTAGCGTAAGCTTTCTTACTTTGGTTCATTGACTTTGTATTTGGGTCATTATCTACCATTCCGTCAACATTTTCCTCTTCTACTAATTTCTTGACTTCCTCGTAATGTGATTATTAAGCTTAAACGTGCTTCATAAATTGATTTAGGTCTTTTGGCTAGGGTCTTTTGTCTTAGATTTCCTTAAGATGATGCTTGGTCTCTTGATCTATTCTCTATTTCCTCTCAATTTGGTCAACTAAATCCTTTTTCTTTGGCTGTAAATTTGGCAATCCTGCATCTTTTCTCAGTTCTAAATAAGTGATCAGCAAATTAGAATTTATATGAAACATGCTTACTCACTGGTTGAAGACCCATAGCTTTCATCTTTTTGGCGTCCTTTCTGTGCTTCTTAAGATCATCTTTTGATTGCTTTTAGATAGCATATCTCTGTTTCTGATTGTAAACATCTCCTTTGGGCTCATAGCCGAGATACTTTTTAGGCATGATAAATTAGCAAGTGTTTATTATAAAATAATGTAATTATGAAATTAATACTTAATAATATTTGTCAACAAGTCAATCATTATTATTAAAATTATGGAGCCAGGTACTCTGTAACTTTTCCAAAATACTCAGGATCTTCAGTATACTTTTCAAATATCTCACTAGCAGTCATATTCTTCAAAATACCAAAGCATGGTTTCTTTGAGTAGTCCTCAATGTACTTGGATAAGCAATATTATAATGTCTCTGGCGGTAGTAATTCAAAATTTATAATTCTGTAGAAAGATGAATGCTTCTCGAGATGAGTGCAAGGACTTTCTTGAATGTTAAGTTGAAGCCTACATAGTGCTGTTGCAATTTTATTTTTTGTCTCTATATTCATTTCTTCAAAGGGCAGACCAAAATAGTAAATAGATGACATGAACTTTGCATTACGATAATCGATTAGCTTTTTAATTGGATCTCAGTCAATGCAGTCTGCAAATATTTGAATATCATCAATACCCAAATGAAGCTGCAAGAAACTTTGAAAGAGTTTAAATCTTGATTCATACAAACCTTTGTACTCATGATGCAATGTCTGTGCAACTTTCACTCTTGAAGCTAATGCCTTACCTTTCTTTCCTTATGATAAAGGTTATTTATCTGAGTAAACTTCAGTAAGTACTTCAATTTATACAAAAGTACCATTTTCATTAAAGAACTGATAGGGATTAAAGAGTTCTTTCCATGTAATTTATGCGAAATCATTAAGGATGTCTAAGTCATAAGATTCTTTCCTTATGTGTCTCAAATCACTATTCCTCTCATAAAGCTCTTCATTGTTTTCCGGCTCATATTATTGCTTAATCAAGTTCTGAATTACATCTCTCTTTTGAATTAGAGTGCAAAGGTTCTAAGCTCTCTAGAGCTCATTGACTATTTATTTCTTTGCTCCTGCAGTCATTTAATGAGTAGTGCATTTATATGGCTTCTCAGGGGTTATTACTGGGAATATTTCCTTAGAAGCCACAAAATACAAATCTTGATCAAGATGCCAATCTGGCAACTCTTGAATGAAAATAGGGTCTTTGTAGTCCCAATTAGAAAATATCTCAAAGAATCTAAAAATTGTCTCTTATACTCTTACATCTAATTTTTTGCTAATTTGTTGACTGAAACTATAAATTACATCCTCATCTCCAACAAAACTCTCATTTAATCCTAGTATTTTCTCTGAGCTAACATTATTAGATGTGATATCTTTAAAAATTAGTTGGTCGGCTTTCGCAAGCATAATGATCAGAGAAATTCCATTCAAATATCCAAAATTAAATCCGTAAATCCCTCTCTATTTAGCCCAGGTCTTTATAATTTTTAAGCACCAACTGTAGCATTCTTTGTCTCTTATCTTTTTGTAAATGTAATGGCAATTAGACCAACCCCTAAATGACAAGATGTTACATTTCTCATTAACAACATTTTCCATGTTCTAATAAAACTCATCATCTTCTAGTTGTCTCTTTTAAGTTTAATTCTAAGGTGGAAGCATTGAGCAATATAGTAAATCAAATTGCTTGCTCATGAATTCAAACTTAATTATTGGTATCTATGCATAAGGTATCTCCTACTGAATATTTGCTTAGACATGTTCTGACCTAAGATACACTGCAAATTTGCTGAAAAATTCTTCTCTGCTCAAAAGGTAGTCGAAACTTTAAAGTAAAACATCTATATCTGAGTTTTTATCATATCCACCAAACATTGCTGAGCCGAATGGTGTAAGCTTAAATGTTTCTACATTGCTATTGATATTATATTTATCATATAGGTCCTTTTACTTTGACAGAGATATGAAAAATGGTTCAATTTTAAGTTGAAGTTAACTAACAGCTTTTTCTCTTTCATTTTATGATGAATTTGAGTGAATTGATGATATTTAACTTCGTTCTGATTCATGCGAATCCTCTAAGTCGTTTTCATTGATAAGCTAAGAACCAAAAAGGATCTTATATGTTTCTACTAATGAAGTCCTGGGCGTAATAATTTTGCTTTTTAATTAACCACTGAATTGCATTAAAATTTTAGATTTTATTTATATACTTGCTATTAATCGAGCTTTTATAGTTCCATGGAGGGGTTTTGGGGTTTTGGTTCTT